TCTTGATATTAATATGCATAATTTGAACGGGATTTCATTCCCAAAACACGTAATATTCACCTGAAAAGTAAAATGGAAAATATCTACGTACCTTTTCAGGTGAATATTACGTGAATTTCATTTGCAGTGTGAGAAAACCGGTCCTCTCACTATCACGAGACGAAGCTACCTATCATGAGCTTTCTTGTCATTTTGCAATGACCAAGCGCTCATGAGAATAATTCTCATGCGATTTTGACATCAAAGTTTCTAAATGATTTAGATGAATTTAGGCAAGCAACAGTCTATAATCGGTAGCGAGAATATATTTTTTAAGATTTCCGCGGTTCAGGTTAGAATAATATCAATAAATGAGCTAGTAATCACAAAAAATTCGAAGAGATTTTGAAGAAAATCTCTATTACCGTTTTCTCATCCGATGATGGGGACAGAAGTATCTCTGTAAATATCGCATGATTAAAATACTTGCTTGTTTCGCTACACTAACTGACAGTTTGTTCGGCTACATCAAAGATATTTCATTAACAAGATATCCCACAAATCAATTCCTCGAACAAGGAAATGGATACACCACCCTTATGTGATCGCAGTGCCATCTCGTGAGTGCACATTGAAACTGTTGGGAGTCCCCCGCCAACTTTACCACCAGGGCTCAATAAATGACAGGTGTCAGTCTGACATATGCCAGCGTGGACGTTGATGATCAGCCGAGGGAAGAGGATGATCGATGTCATCATCATTATATTGCGATAGCATGATTCTCACTTCGTTATGATTGCATCCATTTTCAATCATTACCACGTTATACGCATCAGAAAAACTTGAGAAAACAATAATAAATTCAGATACGACCCTTCAAAAAAGTAATCGAGAATTGATGATTTATGAAGCTGTTGCTCAACATAATAGAAGTTGCATAGAAGTATACATGGAAAAAAACGCAACGTATCGAAATTATTGCTAAAAAAAGTAGAAGGGTCTGTGCCTAGGGGCACGAACGGAAGCTTGACGTAGGACCGCTAGTGGACGGAATAAATGTGAAGAGCATTTAGTTCTTTTAATTGATCAATTATTTATTATCTCAACTCTTTCCGTTTTCGAATTGTAGGCGTACAAAATTTGTAGTAATTTTTTTCAAAGAGAAAATTGATTAAGAGAATCAATCAAAATCACTTGCACCCCTGCTTCCAAGTTTGGTTCCAAGATTACAACTCTGGAGAGCATTTTGTGTGGTCGTTGGGGGCTTGTGGTTCTGAATATGGACAAACAGGCACAGATAAATTCTATTCCAACTCTTTACTTGATGGCCCTGAAAAGGGCCGTTTTATTGAAGAGGACATCCATGGCCACTTACGCTTGGCGTGTTTAGTGTAGGTGACAGCATCACGGGCCTCATTTTCCAGGAACACCTTCAGCACACCTCGTAGATCAGACCGGAGATACGTTTGACACCACCACGGGGAGCCAGACGGCGTTTGGTTCTGAATATGGCGATAAGTGTGCAAAATAGGCAAAATATTACGCAATTCCATCCTCCTTATTCGCACGCGCCCGAGGATCGGAGGCGAATGCCACTTCGACTTGTTTCGTCTACTTACTGCTCTCTGACGACTGTGCTGGGGAAGCAGCATATGCATGCAGGTAATTGGTGGATTTGTTAGTAAATTCGACGCTTTTGGACAAAGCTGGACATTTACCAGTTTTTCAATAGTTTCTTGTTGAAAATCAACATTTGGAAGCATTGTTATCGATGCATAGCCATATTTCTGATTGATTATTGAAATTGGACCAGGGGCAGCTGAATTATTAACGTTCAAAATCATTCTTAATTTGTTACATGTTCCATTTTCGGTTTTCACCGAGGGGGGCGACTCTATCTACGATGCAGAAAAGATTGTGTTTTGCTGTGGCTAGCTGCACGCACGCTGAGTAGATAGAAGGAAGATTTATGTCGATTTTGAAGATTTCCTGCAAAAAGATGAAGCACGATGCAAATAGATGCGAGAAATGAAAGATGATTTTTCGAAGATTGATTCGCTAGTGTGAGATTTTTTGAGCATCTAGAATTGAGATTTAAATGTGTCGCCCCCCTCGGTTTTCACAAAGTGTACCCCCATATAGAAATCAAAGACGTAGTCCTACGTAAAAAAAAACGTATAATAAAATATGCCGTCTTCCTTGGCCAACGCTGCACGCTATTGGCTATTCAAAAATTACGTTGGAATAATGATTACTTTTCTATTTTATAAAGAAGGTATTTTTCAATGACGGCGAATTAAATCGTAAACGGAAGCTGCCGAAGCTGAGTGATGACGATGAGTGATGACACCGCTTCGTGTTTTGATTTGCGCTGTACCCTCTGCTCAGTGGTGTGGGTTCGTACATGTATAGATGATGGTGTGCGTGTTTTCTTCCAACGCTGCAGTTCAACGTTGTATCGTCAAAGACCTATAAGCTATTTTACGTGACGTCTTGATGACAGTTCTTGGCGGGCCACTCGAACGCGCTCGAGGCATTGTTATTGTTTACGTCTGATGTTTTTGTTTTGATTTTGGTCGTGGTATGTCAACAAATCTGCTCGCTGGTAAACGTCAACATAGGTAAACAGAAAAAAACAGCTGACTCGAAACGTCTCGTAAAATGCCTTATAGTCCATTTTATGAAATGACAGGAGCTGGTTTGCCTGCCAGAATTTGATGATATTGATATTGCTTCTCACAGCCGTTAGGTAACCGCCTCCTGTCAAAGTTCATTCATGAGTTGAACCAGAAACGTCTCATAAAATCAGGCATAACATTTGATAACGGCACAAAAGCATTTGTAAACAAACTTTCTAAGGCCCTTTACACGCGAACCAAAGTGCGCCCACGCAAACCAATACCACTTTCGGAAAGGTGATAGTTGCTCCTAGCCGATGATGTTGTTGGTTTGCGTGAGCGTACTTTTGTTCGCGTGTAAAGGGCCTTATAAAGTTTGTTTACAAATGCTTTTGTGCCGTTATCAAATGTTATGCCTGAAATGCTCTATTGAGATTTTCACGTCCGGTTGTATTGGTGCGATATGTGAGAGCGTGTTAGGGGAAATCCAAGGAAAATACATAACAAATCGCAGTCAAACTCATTTTGACAGATCTGATTTCATACATTTTTAGGTTAGCCAGAGGAAAATAATAAACAACTTTACACGGTGATAGACTCCCGTTAGTGTGTGTGCGTTAAACGTCACTAATCTCTATTGGCGCTGTTATCTGTCTCTATAAATTCCAAAGAGTGAAGGGTGTCTGGCTACATTCTACATTGCCTCCGCTTATCTATGGAATCTATAGTATCTATAATTCAAACCATTGCCATTTGGTATTTGAGGTAAAACGCTGTCCAGACTGGAGAGTTATAACATGTTATAACGGTTGTCAACTAATTGCAACACAGAAACCACCATCAAGATAGCGCTATAACATGTTATAACTCTGTAGTCTGAACGTACTATAATAGTACGTTCAGACTACAGAGTTATAACATGTTATAGAGCTATCTTGATGGTGGTTTCTGTGTTGCAATTATTTGACAACCGTTATAACATGTTATAACTCTCCAGTCTGGACAGCGTTTAAGACAGATGTAGGATGAGGAGGGTCCGCTTAGGGGAAGCGTAACCCATGTTATGGTTTCCACTTATTAAATAGTTAAGATAAGTTAGAAACGACAGGTTCATAATGAGCGAATGTAGCAAGTGGTACCCGTTCACTGATCATTTTTAGATCAAAATCAGGTTCACATTGTAAGTAAATTTATTTTGTACCGATACCGATACAATTAACAGATTAGATGAGCAATGACATCAACACTATGAAACAAACATTTTTCTGTAACGAGGTTCATAATTTTCCACGCATGGCGCGCCATCAATGTCAAAGCAGCGCCAGCGTTCAGTGAGGATGAGACCACCCATGTGAGTCTAGAGTATCGCACAAGCTGATAAGTGCAACGGGAAGGGCAGTGGTGCATAGACCTGGGGATTGGTCCCTAGATACGTCAACTTAACCGAAGGTACGGGAATCATCACTAAACAATTACAATTACAATGAAGCCTTTATGAGCTCATCCGGAAAAGTCGATTAATATTGAAAAAATTCCACCGTATTTTTCTTCATATGGCAACTGGTAGCCACTGTGTAAATTTCAGAAGACTTCAAGATAAAAATATAGAGTCTCTGTACTCTGGGGAAGTCTGATAGTCACAGAAAAAAAATCCAGAAGGCTCCTTCGAAATATCTTCCGAGTAAGACCTGAAAAATTAAGAAGTTTAGTTGACTCTCTACCAAAGTCTCCCATTTTGAAAACTCAAAATCGCTAGATCCACTTGACAAGGTATTGAAACCAGGGGTTGAAACAATCGACGTTTTTACTACACTCGCTTCGTTGTCGTGCTCGAAAGTCTGTTTGTATTCGTACACTCATGCTCTACCGTCGTCTCTCTCACAAAACACAAACGATAGAATAACATTCGAGCAAAAAGAAATTTATCAAATAACTATCATATGACATGTGTGATTTCGTTCTAATTTCTCAATTTGGTGTAAATTAAACTATTTATGATCAAAAATGTTATTACTAGGACATCATTGCTTGCTATTTTCAGAATTCACAAAAGCACAACATCAGCAGCTCTTATTACGAGAAAAACTAAAATACATACATTTTTGACGGTCTTCGGCGGCAGTGTCGTATGACAGAGCCTGCCATATGACATTCTAGTTTAGTACTGTACTATGATAGCTTGTTTTGCAAATGTCGGAGGCAAAGGCAGTCGATTTTCACAGAAAATATGTCGACTACCTTGACCGCTTACAATACTGATTGAAACATTGATAACGTTTCTTTTAAAAGAATTTTTTTTGTTTCTCTCGGTATGCTAGGCATCAGACGCCCAGTTACCAAGCTCCATCCGAAAGAAACCCGTCGAATTAACCGAATAACTTTCGAATTTCACCCCCTCCTCAGAATGCTTCATCCGAGTGGTCGACTCATCGCGCTTCTACAAGGCGATAGTGCGGGACTCGCTGACGGTGCGATCAGTCGGTGAATGTGAGCTAGAGTGCATCAAGGCCTCCAAGTTCACGTGCCGTGCGTTCGCCTACAGCTTTGGACCGCATTCGATCAACTCGGTGATCGACAACTGCCAGCTGTCGGATTGGCCCGTACGCGATATGGACAAGGATCGCCACCTGGTATTTGACGAAGGATTCGATGTGTTCGAGCGAGCAAGCTACGGCCAGGGCTGTGAGATCCAACCCATCATCGACGATAAGCATGCGAAGAAATGTAAGGAACTGGGTGATGCTGTGGAAGGCGGATAATGTTATTTGTTTTTTTTTGTCTTGTCTAGTCTGCTATCTAGGTTACGGATCACCGGCAAAACTACTTTCTTCGGCTATCAAGAAGGTAATATCGGTTAATACAGAACTTGACTGCAAGAACGAGTGCGTCCGGTTAAGGGAATCATCAGCCTTCAAGTGTTTGTCGTTCAGTTTTGGGTAAGTACGAGCAAAACATCCAACAAAATATCAACTTCAACGGATTCTTATTGCAGCTCGCAAGCTTCGACATACAACTGTGAAATGTCCGACCTGGACCAGAGCGAGCTGAAACTAGGTGTTCATTATGCCCACACCAACGATCGAGATTATTGGCTGTTTGCGTGGAATCCATTCGATTACACGTGTCGAGATAAGATCACCACTATCAGTAGCGGAAATGGAAACCGCGTGAACCACGACCGCCGGATGGACATATTCCGGGAGCCGGGTAAAAACAGCACCTCCTCTGATAAGGACACTCCTCCTAATTTTATCATTTTGCTACCGAACCAAGCAAACAATAATAACAATAATAACAATAACAACACCACTCATCATCCCTCGAAGCATCCCACCTCACCTCACGATAACCGCAGCAACTCTGACATGCACGCTCAAGCTCAACCACAACGGCAAGATCAAGCTCATGATCACGATCAGAAAACAGAACAATCACATCAGAACTGAAAGTCACCTTGAACCCGAACCCACCAGATTCATAAAAACCTAAATAATGAAATCATCCACAAGTTCTCACACCTCTCTGACCGCTTCTCCAAGTCAACTCGATTCAGAACACGCTATATTCTACCTACACCCTGGTTCAAATTCTATTTGATCGTCATCATCACTCGTCACAGAACAAAAAAAAACTGCCAAGTCTTAACGCTTCATCTTTAGCATCCATTATCGCATCCGTTCTGTTTGAGTAACCATCCTTTACATATATATTTGTCTCTCTTTTTACCCCTATGTGTACCCTCCCAACCCCATGTGTGATCGTAACAACGCGTCCAACTCCTGCCCAAATAAAAAAAAACCTCTCCCCAACCTGATAAAAAAAACCCCCCGTTGAAATCAACATACTTCACCATGATCAACAACAACAACAACAACCGAAACAGGTGACGGAAGTTGGCGTCAGTACACCGTGTCGGGCAAACCGTGCCGGCTCGGAACCAAGTGCGAGCGCAACAAGATCACAGGGTTTTACTCGTGCGAGATAGATGGTGATGAGGTTGGTGCGTGGGACTATTGCTGTAAGCCCGAGCACCCTTGCGGCTATTCGCAAGGGTTCGAGTACCCATGGTAAGATGACCCTGTTTCCAGTGTGTGTTATTAAACTTTCGCTACCCACCTCCTCCTCCTCCCTTTTAGTGTTCTGTGTGTAAGATGAGACTCGTGATTGTGTTTGATTTTTGTATAGAAATGATTAGCCGAATCTAATCGTAGTAAATGATTGTATCTTTTGTATTATATGTTCAATGTGTAGCTAGAGTCTTCATTCGTCTCTCGCAGGCAAACTCGTAGGATAAACAGACAATGTGTGTATGTGACTTAAGGCGATTCCTTGAGGAGACCGAAAATGGCCATATGCCCTATCACGTAATGTTTTCCAGAGCACTGTTGCGGCATCACTCAGGCAATTGTTACTCCCTGTTTGCTGTACTGTAGCAAGCGCGGAGTTCCAGTTTCGTTATTGTACACGGCCGATGAGATCGACTCAAAATTGATAGGTTTTTCGCTCAAAATCGCAAAATCGAAGGTCACTAAAATAAAATTAGAGTAAAATTTTCCTCACGTCCTCAAAAATCTGCTCGAATTTGAGGAAAATTTACGAAAATTTTACTCAGTCTAGAAGTGAAATCTCACTTCATTTTCTTCATATTCGAATAGTTTTTCCTGGAAAATCGAGGAAAATTTTAACTGAGTAACCTAGGTTTTTGGTGAATTTAAATGTACGCAACTCAAATCTGAGTTGCTTTCATCAACCGTGTATGTTTGGTGGGAACTGATATTTGTCCACTTGAAATTTCGAGGTCAGTCAGACTCAGAAAAAAAGGTTATCACAGCGATTCACCTTAATGATGGCTTTCTACAAATTAAAGGTGCTTGTGAGAATATCTCGGCATCATTTTGGAATTCAAAATGGAAGATTTGAGTCTTCAGCTTCGGAACAAAATATCAAAGAGGGAGCCAAATGAAATGGTTTCAATGTAGGGTGGCAAACGGTTTCGGACGTCATAAGCCGAAATTCCAATAGCTGCTGACTTTTCATTATACGACACCTGTATTGTCTGGTCTGGGAAAGTTTACCGCTCCGAAAAATATAACTTTTTGATTTTTCTGAAAATGTTGGTAAAAGATTTTTTTTTTTCTAAACAAAAAACAAAAAATTCAGGTGCAAAAACATTTGTCACAAACAAGTCATCGTGGCATAAACTTTAAAAACCACAACATATTTACATTCGGTAAATTCTTGATCTTGAAAATATTCTAAAGACACAGAATGATGAAAAAAATTTGAAGTTCCAAAATTTTCATTTTTTTTCCTGAGTGTGCAATTTTGATATTTATTTCAATTATCAAAAATTTTCAAAAACATGTCAAGTCCAAAATATATGAAATCTTTTGTTTCTTTCCGCCTTTTTAGTGTATGCCTAATGTTCTGTTCTGGCTTATGTCTTTTGAGATTCCGCCTTTTGTATTGTGTTTCATCAAACAAACTCTTCTGATTTTGCAGAAAACCGAATTGAAGAAAAAAAAATTCTCATTTTCTGAAAAGTCGTCAATTATTGTCTTAGACAACCCATGAATCGTAAATATCTATGATGAAAAGAGGAGTTCACATGCACACATTTTCTGGCATACTGCAAACCTACCTCCCCCGCTAAAACCATCACGACAATCCAACTTCTTCCCCCTTTCTCGAACAGGTGCTTCGTGGGAGACGCTCCCGACCAGTGGCGCAAGTGCAGCGATAAGTACTTCCCCAAGAAATCTAACCAGCATGGCCATGGGCACCCCAATGGGCTCACCGATGGTACGCGTTATCAAGACAAGAATAAAAAGGGTGAAGTCTATCAATCACCTCCGAAACCGGGCGGACTGAGACACGTGGACGACGTCACTGCACCGGCAGAACTGTGGCCGGTGACGTTCCTCTACGACAAGGGCCCTCCCGGCAGCGGCATGACAGTGGCCGCTTCGAAACAAATCCCCCTGGCAATCAATGCGACCCAACTCAACAGCAACGTGATCGATTGCAAGAAGGACAAGTGCTAGAGAATCAAGAAGACGAACATGTGATAATGTGATGATGGAAGTTTGATAGACCTTTGAATAGCAGAGTGCGTTGTAGGAGTAGACATAGTGATTAGCATTTAGTAGCAGACGTTAAGACTCTCTCCCCCTTCCCCTCCATTGAATAGCGTGTAAGATGGCAAGATATCGATCAAGACTTTTGCATTGCTGCGAATTTGATGATAATACAATACTGCCAAAATGATCTTTACCCTTCTTCTCTTCTGTTAATATATTTATGCCACTATCATTAGGGACATCGTGAGCTCTTACCACTTTCTTTATCGTGCGAAGGAGCAGAGAATCAAATTTTGTGGAATTCTGAAGCACAACCATAAAGAAAGCTGGTGACAAAATTCATCAACAAAAGGATCTAAATTATGTTCGTAAGGTAGTCTTAAAACAAAATTGAATGTTACATTTAGCTTAAGAATTATCGAATAAAGTATATTGAATACTGAAATGTCACACTACAAATCTACTTTGACTTTGAAATCGGATATGTACGCAATCAAAACCCCGCTTCGTCTTAATTTATTGCAACATTCCCACAAGGAACAATTTAAAATATCAAATGACCGATGACAGATCAAATTACTAACTACGAGTGTAATCGAATCACACTTTCTTGCCATTGATCCGAGACAGTTGACTCCGGGCAATTTTGTCAAAAAAGAGCAGTCCAGCTGCTCGTTCGACCGTCTCTGGTGGCACTTGGAACATGGTCAAAGGAGTCTCGTTGTCAATTTTCTGATTCGGCAGTACGTAGGCCTCCATTTCCAGTTTACTATCGGCGGTTTCCATCACCACCACTTTATAGAAATGCGTTGGAACTGCCACGTTATTGGAGCCGAGCACCTGGTATTTTACGTACAGTTTGCCATCGGCCTCTTTCCGGGGCAGATATAGCGGCCCTGTGCAGCAATATACATTCGGATAGTGTTTAGTTAGCTTTCGCACGTGGCGCTCCAGGTCGTTCCATTTGTCTCGATTAAAACCGACACCGACCTACGAAAAGTTTGGGTGAAATTGAAATTTGTTCAAAAGTAAAGAAATAGCTTCTCACCTGCGGTGCCATATTGGTCAGATAGAACGTCTGATCGCAGTGTTGCTGATGACGCCTATGGTTTCCAGCCGCAGCCATATGTCCTCGATCGAACCCGGATCCCTTGTAGTCCGAATTTAACGATCGGAAAAACGGATGTATGCTTTCGTCCGGTTTGAAGTCAGACTTGGATCGATCCACCGCGTCATTGGGCTTCACCGATTCCGCCGTCAGATGTTCGAACACCCAATGGGCAACCCGTGACCTTCGGTCATACGATAGCACATAATCATCGTACGAGCGAACATTATCCAACCCCGGAAAGCCATACTTCATAATCTGCCCGATACGACTCACATTGCTGGGCACTACCGCTTTTTGTTCTGCCGGAATGGGAGAAGCAGCAGACACGGTTCCAAAAATAGGCAAGCCCGGTTTAGACACGATGTCCCGTAACAAACTACCGGCCCGTTCGTTTACGTAATCAGCACTTTCGGACGGTCGACGACACACGTCTGTAATTTTTCGCCGTTCTACGAACGATCCAACGAAATAACTCCCTATCCCGACGGAGGACAGTACCAGAAAGCGTGACGCTAGGTTTGTGGACATTTGCACTTAAATAAGTAAGAAAAACTCACGATATTAAAATTAACACTAAAATGTATTAAACGAAACACGATCGGATCGGCAAGACGAAAAATCATAACGCATGATTTTGACAGTTCCTACAGCTGTTCGCAAAACAATCGATGAAAGCGCATAATCGACGAACGAGTGGTGCGAACGTACGGTAAAATAAGCTAATACCTGCTTTGACGTTTGCGGTCGTTGTGTTGGTTTGTACCAAAGAGGGTTTGTATACCGATGCGCTGGCGTGGTGTTGGTATGTTGTGTGATGTGTCAATCGTCACCATCTGTCACCATCATGTGTTCAACGCCATCGACGAGAGCACGATAGCAAGCTAGATTCAGCTTCTACACAAAACTGCCTACCAGTCAAGTGTAGTGAAGTTCTCTTCGGAAAACCGCGTGAAATTGGAAGCCATTTTTAAGTTTTTACGGTGTTTAAGTGGATTACAGTGATTTCATTTAAATAGATTGAGAAAGAACCTTTATTTGTTTACTTTTATTAATTATCTAAGTGAAGAGAAAAAATCGGTGTATTTGTTTAGGTTATATTAAGTTTAGTTAGGTTAAGTGTACAGATAGTGGTAAGCGGTAATCTATGCTTGATTAACAAGCATGGATCTATCGGACAGTAACAGGCAGCCTGAGCCGCCAGATAAAGGTAAGGACATGGTTGAATATCCATTACCCCCTACATCGGATGAAGACATGGACAACGATGACGACTTCCGGGGCTTTCCGGAAGATGACATGATAGACCAGTCTCAACAGAACAAGAAAAGACGAGAAGAAAAAGACACAAAAGAAAGCGATAAGAAACGAACAAGATCAAACAAGTCTAACACACAAGCTACAGCTAACACTTTTACACTACAAACAAAATCATCATCAAACACACTAACACAACCATCGGTATCTCAAATGACGAATACACTAACAACATCACCACCAAACTCACTAACACAACCACAACCACTAAAAATCCCAACCATACTAACACAAACAAAGCCTGGAACTTCTAACAAAAACAATGATAAAAGCATACACATCAAAAACAACGCATACAATGTTATTTTCATCGAGCCAATTTCGATTAAAGAAGGACAAAAACTTCTGGAACCAATGGAAGTAGGAAAATTCCTACATGATTCACAATTGGACCAATTCACGGAGCTCAAAAGAGCAGGACAATATCGATACAAAATGACCTACAAAAAACCACAGGATACAGAGAAAATACTCAACGCGGCATCACTCCTGAAAAACAACAACTACAAGGCGTACATTCCGAAAATGCTAACCGAAACGACAGGTGTCATCAAAGACATTCCTCCATCGTTCACCGAAAGAGAAATTCGATTGAATGCAATCTGCAGCAAAAAAATCACAGGTGTTGAACGAATTAAGAGGAAAAAGGACAACGAACTGATCAACACAAGGACGGTTAAAATTACCGTAGAAGGCCCGGAACTACCGAGAGTGGTACAGATCTACGGAGTATACTGTAAACCGGAAATATACATCTACCCTGTGAGAATCTGTAACAAGTGCTGGAGACTTGGACACAAGGCTGCAGCGTGCAAAAGCAAGGAAACATGCCTAAGATGCGGGAAATATATCTCCGAAGAACACCAAGGATGCGACGAAAGAAACCCAGTGAAATGCAAGAACTGTGGAAACAAACATCTACCCACCGATAAAGACTGTCCAGAACGTAAGAGAAGAGAACATATCAACGCAGCTATGATGTTAAACAAAATGACTTTCACAGAGGCAGCAGAGCTCTATCCGAAAACACAAAACAGGTATGCTATTCTGGAGTCTATCGATGAATTCCCAAGACTGGAACGTCCAAATAGACCAAACTCAGGATTCAGACAAGATGTAGAAACCACTGGAAAAATCGACTACAGCAAAGTAGTCGAAAGACTGATGAAACCAAAGCCAAAACCAACCATTGTTAAAAACATGTTCCCTCAAGAGGAACACATCCCTGAACAGGTAACTGTAATAACAAACAACCCACATGCAGTATCCGAAGCAGAGCGAATTCAGACAATGTCAAAACAACTACACAACTTTTTTACAACACTTCTACAGCACAACGTGGAAGGTAAAACCGACTCGGATCCGAGCTCGGACCTTCTTTTAATCGAAATTGGCACAATGATTAAAAACATAATTGAAAAAATTGAAGCAATAAATCCACATAAAAAATAGTTAAACTTTTCTACAATAATGGACATCTTCACTGAAAGTCTTAATATTTCACAACTTAACATACACAGTCTTAGACCATTACAAAAACGAGAAAGTCTTAAAACATATTTAACAACTAAAAACATACACATTTTTTTAATCCAAGAAATCTGGATTAAAGAAACAGAAAAATATAAATTCCTAAACTATTCTTTTTTTAAGAAATGTAGACCTGATGGCTATGGCGGATCAGGTATACTTACACATCCGACTTTACAAGCAGAAGAAATTACAATTCCTAATGTCGATCTTGAACTAGTAGCAGTTAAAATTAAAAATATTAAAAATCCAACTATTTTTATTTCTATGTACATTCCTCCGGATACTACAATAGAAGATTTAAAAACCCCACTAGAAAATTTATTCAAGTTTATTCAACATAGTAACATACCAATAATGTTAGGCGGTGATCTCAATGCACATCACCCGATATGGGATAGTATTGCTATAAAAGCTGATCGCAGAGGAGATCTAGTGAGTGACCTATTAGAAAACTATGACGTCATTTTTCACAACACCGGGGTTCCAACTAGATGGGAAGATATCAATCAAAGTCCATCAGCAATAGACTTAACTCTGACGACGGTAGATTTGGCATCTAAAGTCAGCTGGGAAACAAGTGATGAAAATTTAGGTTCAGATCACAAACTAATAGAATGTAAAATTCAAAATTATAATAAATTCTCTGATAATTTACCACGTACAATCATAAGCAAGGAAAAAGCAATAGAATTTCTAAATGAAATAGATCCAAGCGAAATAACAGATGTTAGTAGTTTAGAGGAAAAAATCGAAAAAGCACTAGATAAAGCATCTTACCTAATCCATCCAAATAGCAAGAAAAAGATCAAGCCATACTGGACAGAAAATATCAAAAAATTATACGAAGAGAAAAATAAAAAACACATACAATTCCGGAAAAATTTAACATTAGAGAACAAACAGAAATTCAAAAAGGCAGAGAGAGAGTTCATAACAGAATTGAAAAAAGAAGTTAATAAATACAGACAAGACATGCTAGAAGAAATTAACGAGGACACTAATATTAACAGAATGTGGGAAATAGTTAAATGCATATCTGGTAATTTTAAAAATAAAAATAATTCTGAAATAATTTCAAACAACGAACTAGCAAAAGATTTTTTGGAATTAAACTTTAAAAAAGAAATTAACGAGGAAATAGAATTTAAAAATAGTACAGCAGACGAAAACAGATTTTGTAAGGAACTTAGCAAAACGCAAATGATTAAAACAATTAATAACAGAAAGGACACTTCTGCAGCTGGCCAAAATAGACTGTCGTATTTTTTCCTTAAAAGAATTAAAACCGAACTGCTTGTGAAAATACTAGAATTAACTAATGAAATTTGGGAAAAAGGAAACATACCAGAACAATGGTTAAACATTAAAATAGTTCCTATATTAAAACCATCTAAAGATAAATCAAACCCAAAATCATATCGACCCATTGCACTTATTAATATTAACCTTAAAATTATTAATTGCGAAGTCAAAAAACGCTTGACCACTTTCAGCCTAGAGAACAATTTAATTCCTCCACTATCATTTGGTTTCAAAGAAGATTCGTCAACAATAGATTGTATTAACTACTTGGTTTCAACAATAGTTGAAGCCCAACGCAATAAAATGGTAGTATCAACAATATTTCTAGACCTTACTAAAGCATTCGACTCTGTCGACATAATAATATTACTTAAGCAACTTGATAATTTCGCGGTACCAAATAAAATTCTAAAATGGCTTAAAACATATCTCTCTGAAAGAAATGTTATTTTGGAAACAATTCAGGAAAAATTAACAAAACCAACGAATAGAGGGCTGCCACAAGGTTGCCCTCTATCTCCGCTGCTTTTTAATTTATATACCAGTTTGTTACACGAAATTAATACAGAAAAAGTTATACTAGAACAATTTGCAGATGATTTTGCAATAACAATAATAGGTGAAACTATAGAAGAGGTGCAATTAACAGCTAAGGTAACACTGGGAAGAATTAAAGAAAAATTAGAAGACCTGAAGATAGAAATAAACGCCGAAAAATCAGCAATAATTCTGTTCACTTCTAGACAAGATGATATAATAAATGTGAAAATAGGTGATGATAACATTAAACAAGTAAATCAACATAAATATCTAGGCTACGTAATAGATCAAAAATTATCCCATAAAATGCATATAAATTACATAAATAATAAAGCAAAACAAAAATTAAATGTACTCAAAATAATATGTAAAAAAAAGAACGGTGCACATCCTCAAACGGCTTTGAAAATCAATAAAGCAGTTATACGCTCTCAAATAGATTACGGACTAACAATTTACGGTGGTGTTGCCAAAACCAATCTGCAAAAGCTCAATTCTACATACAATGCAGGGATTAGAACAAGTCTAAGGCTAGTTAAATCCACACCCATTAATGTTCTATATGCAGAAGCAGGAGAAATGCCAATCAAGGAAAGAGCAGGTTGGTTAGCTAAAAAAGAAATAATTAAAATTTTTGCGCATATCAAACCTATAATTAATCACCTAAGCAAATTCACAGAAATGGACAATCTACCTAAAAAATACACCTTTTTGGAAAAAATAACATTTGAGAATAATTATTTAGTCATACAAACAAGTAGCTCAATTATATCAAACGAAATTAAAAGATGTATAGAAGAAATAGAAAAACTACCCATAGTAACAGAAATCCCAAATTTAAAAAAGCAAAATATGAATGAATATACTATTAGATCTTTAACAAATGATTTCATTCAAAATACATATGAGAACCATATAAAAATTTATACAGATGGCTCGAAAACTTCAAATAAATGCGGTATAGGTATATGGCTAGAAAACAAAGAATCAATTAGTTGCAAAGTAAACAGTGAACTCTCAATAATGAACGTGGAACTTACAGCAATTAACATAGCGATTGATATAATTAATGTTCAACCAGAGACCTTATTTGTAATATGTTCCGATTCAAAATCAGGTCTTATATCGTTAAAATCAAAGAAAATTAAAAACAATTATCTAATTACAGAAATTTTAAACAAACTAAAAAACTCTACGAAACAAATATCCCTCCAATGGGTTCCAGGACACAAGGGCATAATCGGAAATGAAAAAGCTGATAAACTTTCGAAAAAAGGCTGTACTAGCACAAATGCGATTTATTCCAAAATACCACTAACAGACGCATTTAACTTAGCTAAAGGAGAATCACTAAATGAATGGATTTCTCTATACACAGAATTGTCTAAAGACAAGGGTCTTCGCCACTTTAAAATTTATCCAATCCCTACACTTAAGCCCTGGTTTTACAACACAGGCCTGGAAACACACGAAATCATTAACATAGGAAGACTAAGGACATTTCACACGATGACGAAAGAAAAACTTTACCAATGGAAACTCATAAGTAATGAAAATTGTGACGAATGTGGGGTCAAGGAAGATATCAACCACGTCCTTTTTATTTGCACTAAATACATTGAAAATAGATATAAATTCAACTGCTTGCTTGCTAACGATAACACTGATGACTTGCTTGAGAACGCCGGAACAAATACATACCGAGAAATAGCAAAATTCATTAAAATAAACAGAATTCAAATTTGATACACAGCGTATAAAGGTTTTATTTTTTCAATCTAAATTCATAAACAAACACCAGTCCATATGATTGGTGCACTGTCATTTCATAATAAACCCTGTAAAAACGGTACAAAACCGTTTACGTCAAAACAGAGAAAGAGGCGAATGATGCCCAATAAAAACTTCACGACTTGACATAACTTGGCAGTGTAGTCCGTCAACAGTGGACTTGCCACTAAAGGGTGAATAGAAGAAGAAGAAGAGCACGATAGATAACAATATAAAAATACGGAATCCGAAGAGTCACAGTGCCTTGTTCACAATCATTTAAATTGTTTTAATTTTGGATTAGGTAAGTAGTAAGTACATCCATGTTTGTTGGGTAGGTAGGTTAATGCACTGCCTCTTAATTTGAAAGATGATAGACGCATCTTCCGAATTCCCCGTCTCGCATCTCAAAACAAAATCAAGAGTGAATTTTCAAATAGCCGTATTTGCTTTTGTGAACAAAGATTCAAGCGTTATTTAACTTGTCGAAACGATTTTATAACATTAGCCCGAATCCTTTTTTGTTTTTTTTTTTCTCTGAACCGGGGATCAACGGCTTTACTTCCCTTCCGAAGGAAAGCATGATCAGAGATGTTATGCCTCAGAACAGACTAGGATTGAACCCAACCAGCTGGGGTGAGAATAATCACGCTTACCACTACACCACCGGCGCCGCTGCCCGAATCGTTTGTACCCACTATTTGCAATTTTGTAGAAAATTTATAAAACTTTTGAAATGATTAAATATCTGATAGTCCAATGTTAGATTTTGATTTCTCATCAAACATTCTAATACTACTGTAATAATAACAGCATTCAGAAATATTCCAGAACAGGGTTTCTTTCACTCACTTGCTATAAAAAAAACGATTTTCAGGATTATGGAATCAATAGATGTTATAATGATAATTAGTACTTGAAAGTTACATTTAGAGGTTGTAAAGTATGTGTTTGACTCATAAAACCTGTTAATTTCGCTGTAAGTGCGTCACAATCAGCGATTTACGATTCGATATAATCGTTGATTGTGACGCTCTAAAAGCGAAATTTACAGGATTTATGAGTCAAACACATACTTTACAACTTCTTCTTATACCTTAAAAGTACAAAATATAATTATTTCAGAATTCCGAAAAACATTTTTTATAGCAAATGAGTGAAAGCAACCCTATTCCAAAGTTCTCGAAAGAACTGCTCATGTTCGAAAGAAGAAAAAATCTTCTCTAAAATATTTGATTCTAATATCTATCAGACCGACAGTAAGCATGCATAAGGGCCTCACGGCGATGATCGATTCTCTTCATCGATTTTCTCTTCAAGTTGCTTCACCTAAGGGAAGCGATTTCCTGAAATGGGTCCAATACAATGCTGTAACAGGTTGTATTGTCTATTAAAAGCAATAGCAAACGCACCGAGAAATGTTAATCCAAGCGAGTTATTAACAAAAGAGAAAATCGACGTATAGAGAATCATTGCAATTAGGCCCTTATGATCGCTCACTGTCGAAACTTTCAATTCCATCATGGCCAATGATAATAACTCAAGCCATTAGTCACTTCTACTCAGTTGTATGATAAAATTCATGAAACTGAAAGCGCTGATTTTCTGCAGTTTATAGAAATTTCTCCATACCTTTGAGTAGAAGTGACTCTCCCTCTGAGTTATTCTCGTTGACCATGAAAAACTTGCAAAGTTTTCCAAAGTCTATTTTTAATAAACATATTATAACTTCATTTGTAGTACACATACAACTCGCAAGAACTGCTCTTGTTTAAAAGAAAGAATCAATCTTCGAAAAGCTTCTTTCATTTCTTGCATCTACTTGCATCCTGCATCATCTTTTTGCAGGAATTCTGCAGAATCGTCATCAATCTTCTTTCTATCTACTGAGCAGCTAGCCACACCAAAACATAATCTTTTCTGCATCCTAGGTAGAGTCGTCCCCCTCGAAAAATTCTCCTAAAATTATTATTTTCGGGCTAGTGTTACAAAACCGATAGTTTGAGTGGGCGAGTTAAGAGTTTCGACAAAATTAATTAATCAATGTTTGCAAAAGCAGCTATTTGAGAATTTATAATATCTGAGGGTATCGTATCTCTTATGCCACGCTCTAGGGGGGGGGGGGGGGGTTGGTAAATTTATCCTCGATTTAGCGTAACATAATTAATGCATGGTCCCTAGAGGCTGTTCATACGCTACGTAGACCGTTCTTGAAAACTTACTCGCCCTGCGTAGACAATCGTCCATACATATTTTTGGAAAAAATGTATGGCCGTAGACAGTAGACAATCGCCAACACTTTCAGTTCACACCAGTTCAAGGCGGATAATCAAAGGTGGGCTGGAACTCATGGTTCGCTAGTGCTGTTTCATACGGCCGGAAGGTGTATGCTGGTCACATTCATTTCGTTTGTTTTCTCTTTGCTTAGATTTTCTTCATTCATTCATTCCTTTATTTAACGTCGTGCTCTGATCCGCAATATAGTGCCAATTACCGACGAACATCGCTTGCCATCCATTGATGGCAATCGAATGTGCAGGAAAGCAGTTTCCATGCCAACCTGCGTAGGATATCGCACCCATTTGAAACACATGGGCCGGTACCAACGGCTTTACTTCCCTTTCGAAGGAAGACGTGATCAGAGATTTTTATGCCTCAGAAAAATCCCACCGAATACACGGAATTCAGATGGTTAAGTGACAGTTGTCACCTCGGGTGAGGTAACTCTTAATTTGATTTGCACAGTCTCTCCTCATCCGAGGTGATAATTGATCAATTTAGATGGTCAAGTTTTGAGCCCACCACAGCATGCTTTTGGCGCTACTGTATATGGACGATCAAATGTAAAATACTGTGGCAGGTGACAATTGATCATTTTAGATGGTCAAGTTTTGAACCCACCACAGCATACTTTTAACGCTACTGTATATGGACGATAAAATGTTAAATACTGTGGTAGCCACAGCACAGTTCTGTCAAAACCTTTGCTTTTTCATTGATCCATTGTCACTTCACTGTCACCTCACCTCACACGCCGCGCAGAATAGGCCTACATATTTCGTTTGCATTTATTAAGGCATGGGTATCTACTAATCAGAAAATTGTAACTATAAATATTTCCACCTCATCAAGCAAATCCCTTCTCGTTTATGTAGCGGTTTGAAACATTCCTCCAAGATGGCTCACCACTCGACTGTTGATGACATTGAAGATGAAATTGGCAGTTGGGGCTTCTCGACGTCGGTGTCAAACTATGAACGATCTGTCCAAGCAGCCGACAACCGTATGCCACAGCCGCCCAACGTAGGTGGTCGTGGTCGAGGCATCATCAATCCACACCACATGGCTTCCGTTAGGCTTGCGTCCGAAATAAGCGATTTGAAATGCCATTCCTTTCCGATGGGCCATCTTCCAACGAGTAAAGAACTGCTCGCCGGCACATCGGAGAATGAAATTACCCCTCTGCTTCGTCAGTTGGGTCTGAACAGTCGAGAAGATGAAATACACAGTAAAACCACGAGAAAAACTGTCACGACCAATGATGAGATTCGCCTGGATGGGAATGTTCCTGTTATCCTGAATGCAGATTTGTTTAGACATTGTGAGGCTGAAGAAGACGAAGGAATCGGAGAACCGGACACATTCAATCCAGAGCAACCATTGCATGAGCAGTTCAGTACTATTGCAGAGCTGGTTGTATCAGAAGAAGATGATATTCCCGTAGCAAACACTATTCCAAAGAAAACTAAATCCAAGAAAACCAAATCGGTGGATTCATCAGCGGATTCGGCATTGACAAACAGCAGTACTTCTTCTATTCAGTCGAAAAAAGGAAAGAAGAAAAAATGGCGAAAGATGACGGCGGAAGAACTGAAACCATCCGAACCGGATCGTGGTCGCTATGAAGAAGTTTATTCCGTAGGTGTGCATGACAACACTACTAGAAATTTCTTCACTACGCGACAATTGCATGGTGTCACGGGAATAAAGGGGTGGTCTTCTCACTATTAGCATTTTTAGTGCTGTTTTTGTTTTTAAATAGGTGTGAATATTTCAATTTTGCAGAAGAAGTTTGTTCTTATTGATAATTTGCGAAAATTTTATTGCGTGGGATTAAATACAATATTTTATAAATGTTTGTCTTTGTCTTCAGGAGATATCACAAATCCTTTTCGCAACTCTTTGCAGATACCTTAAACAACGGATAAACAAACAAAATTAAGTTGCCAACGACCAATGACATGTTGAACATTGAGATAAACGAAATAACTCAATTGCTGAAGCAATTAGGAATCAGTGGACAGGATGGACCGATGAGCAGCCAAAAAACGAGGAAAGTTGTTGTGCAGGAAGTAGATATTATCATAGATGGTAACTTACCGATAATCTTGAACAGTGATCTGTTCACAATGAAAACAAACTGCGAAGAAGATATTGCGGATGAAGAGTACAATGAACCGTACGATCCTAGCCTACCTCTTTATGAGCAGTTTACAACAATCAAAGAATTTGCTCCGCCAGTAGAAGACAAAAAAATGCTCATATCAAGGAATTATAGTAATTGTGAAACTCCGAGATCATTACAAAGTACCACAACAACGTCGGAAGCACACTCGCTTTCAACATCGTACAGCGACGAGAGTTCTTCCTGTTCCAGCAACATCATCACGATAACCTACAGCGAAGGCGAAGAAGATTCATATGAAGAGATGTTCGAGCCGCTGCTGAAGATGAAACAATCACTCTACACACCGCGGCAGCTTTACGAGCACAAGAAGCTGCAGGAAAATTTCCAAAAGGTAAGTTCACAGGCAAATTTTCAAGCGTTAGAATGAAAGACAGGGCATGTGGCTTTTTTCTTTTATTCTATTATTTTACATGACCGTTTATACACATCTATTGCCACAATAAACTCATTACGGTCAGTGGCGGCATTCCAGCTTCGGATCCTTTCCGGAAACCTAAAATCGAATGTAAACAAATTTCATGTTACATTGTTACGTCATTTGCACGATGCATGCCGAAAGGCATTGGCCCTACATACCAAGATAAAGCACGGTCGGTATGAAACCCCAGTGGAATGCGGTTTTGACGACCTCAAACACCACTCCCAGGCGATCCTTTGCATCTGGAGATAGATTCATTGTTTATGAAATTTTCTGCCGGGAATGTGGAGAATTTCGCACCAAAATCGGCTGCTACGAAATGCGTGCGATGCGGTCGAACTGTATCAAAACACGAGAAGCGAACAAGAGAACGAAAGTGAATCTTTCTTGGCGTAACGCGACAGCAGCGTTGCCAGATTGTTTTAAAGCTTATCGGTATCAAAGGTATTAAAAAATCGGTATTTATCGGTTTTTTTCTATTTATTTAATTTTATATTTTGCCGTTTTTGAAAGCGAAAATTTAAACGATGGTGACGACTGGAATTTGAGGGGAATTTCTTTGTTTGGCACTATATTTTTTTTAGTTTTATTTTTAAAACTATCGTTGTCCTCAAGTGGTGATCAAAATTGTGACCAAGCAGGGTTTTTTTTTCAATTAAATATCATTTAATGAAACCAAAATATGGAAAATCAGCCACAACAACGACAAACAATATTTTCCCTTGAAAAAAAGCCACAACCCATGGCCGAAATGTCCGGCAGATTACATCGTAGTCGTTGCAGTGTTTTAAGACTGAGAAAGCCGTTAATCAAAGCAAAATTTTTGAACTATGATCGGAAAATTCCGGAAGAAACTCCGGGGAATGTTTGAATTAGCTTCTGAATGGAGCTGAAAAAAGCATCCAGAGAAAGACGAAAGATGCTCCCTTGAATAAAGTTCGGTAAAAGCTGGAAAAACATCCGGGAAACTAGAGCACACAATTGCAATTGTGGCAAAATTTTAAATAAACTATAGGAAAAAATCGGATGTCACATCCAAAGGAAGCCTGAAAAGTTTCGGAAACCGGAAGTAAATTTCCAGAATTAGCCATATCCAGGGAAAGCCAGAAGAACCTCGGAAAAACCTTTCAATAGAAGTCGATCAAAAAAACCTTTGACTTATGGTTAAACTTCCAGAAGAAGACGAATGAAATTTCGAGGAGAATTAATTGAACTTCCTGGAGAAGACGATAGAAACTTCCTGGAGACGCTAACAGAAACTTCTTAAGGTAGACTGGAAGAAACATATGATGAAAGTCGGAAGCCAGAGCGCTTACAGAACAGTCGAAAGAAACCTTGGATGTTTCTGGGGAATGTTCTAATGATCCAGAGAATTTTTCTGATATTCATAAAGCATCCTCGAAGACTCCGCAATTTCTCTGAAGGTTTCGGAACATTCCTGAAATATTCCAAAATTCCTCGACATTCCTTAAAAGTTCTTGTAATTGTCCTGAAATTAGGGGCTGTTTTGGAGTTCTCTGGCCATGCTCAAAGCGCTCGGAACTTCCCTGATTATAATAAGGCTACCGGAATATCTCTAATCATCTTTGAAGGTCTCTGGACTTTCTTGAAGATTACGAAATCATCTAAGTGTTCTCACAATTTTCTTGAATTTTAAAGCATTAAAGTTCTCTGATCTTCCAGATTTTTTTAATTTTTAAAAGTTTTCGACACTGCCATTACAAGGCATAGAACTTTTTATAAAATGTTCTCAAAATTTTCTAATGTTCAGGTAACTTCCCTTACGTTTCCTTAATTTGCATGAGCCCCTCAGGACATTGCTGAAGTTTTCGGAAATTGCCTGAGTTTCTCGGAGCTCCTTTATGATTTCAGCAATTTCATTGAAATTAATTGATCTGTCCTTATGTTCTCTGAGCTTCACTACAGTCCATGAAGACCATTAAATTTCCCTGAAGTTCTTTGGACTTGTGAAGTTTCCAACATATTTATGATGCTTCCTGCAGGTCACTGGACTTTTCTAAAATTTCCGGGGTTTCGAATATAAACAGAAGTTAATGAAACTTTCTTTAATTTATCGAAAGCCATCGAATATTTTTTGATTGATGGGTAGCCAAAATCGGTGAGGAAATGCAAACATTAGTCGAAAGAGTATCAAGCATAAGGCATCTTTAGAGATGATTGTTTAGAAATTTAAAGGCTCAAAAAATATAAGTTATTAAAAAAGAAACAAGTCTCTAACAAACATTTTCTCCGAAATTCATGCGTGGGCAGTCAATAATAAATTTGATTATTTAAAAATAAATCGGTATAAATCGGTATAAAATCTCAAAAATCGGTATTCTGAGGAATCTTATCTGTATATCGGTATCTAGTTCAGAAATCGGTATAAATACCGATAAATCGGTATATCTGGCAACGCTGCGCGACAGTGATAATATGGTTTTGTAAAGGGTCTAACTTATTTCTAGATATTTTTTTCAAAAGCTCCTGTCTGCTTTGATCGATTTTCTTCATCGACTTTTTTTTTTTTTTTTTGATAATCGCCCGCATAAACACGAACCACAGACAAACAGATATAGAACTCGCAAGTTGTTCATCGAACAAGTTTTTAGCGATCACCGGCGCCGCTACGCGGTAATGTTTTAGCGACGATGTTTTACAGTGATGAATATTCAATGTGTTATGTTTGTTTGTCTGTGCGTGAACCATAACTTGACCTTACCGAAAATGGTTTAAAGTTATTTATAATCCCTGCTAAACTTTAACTGAAATGGTTATGGAACTTTACATGAACGTTTGTGTGATAAAGTTTTAACCTTATGTTTTATGGTTTTTAGGAAGTGAACCTGACAAATAATGGGTTGTTAAGAACCATTACCATTCCAAATTTTTGTTTTCTCCATACATTTTCGAAAAGAAAACTATATTAGAACCTTTTTAATTAAGGTTTGATAACTTTAATGGTAATGGTTATGGTAGTCAGTAAGGTTTGTAACATCGATGAACTTGATGTGGAATATATCGCGAATAGGTTGCTTGTAAATCAGTGGCGTCGCCTTAACCTAAATCTACCTGTGCACCAACTCTCAAAACATAAACAATTATCAAAATATTGCGTCCAATGGATAGATTTTGAGTAAACTAGAAGATTAAGAGTATTTTTCAACCGATTCGAGTATGAATATGGCAATAAATCTGGTTTTGAAAGTTTTTTTTTTTTTTTTTTCATTTCGTTTATTTGGCAGGCTCAAATGTTATAAAAATAACTTAGCGGAGCCGAGTAACATAGAATACCAATTATGGTACTCAAAATACAAAAAAAATATGTACAAATATATTTTATCATATGATTTTTCTGGGTGGCGATCGAAGCGGCGACAAAGCGATCTTCTCCCGTGCACGCAATTTCTTTCTTTCCCGAATTTGTTCCTCATTTTCATTGAACCAGAATCGTGATCGCTGCTGCTGTTTCTGGACATCGTTTCCCGTTGCATGCTCTCCGCTACTCTCGTCGGTCGTCGGGGTAGCCACGTCCATTTCGTTATCTGCATTCAACATCTCCAACCCCGTGTCCGTTTCCTGATCGCTAATGACAAACGACGTACCTTCCACCACTACACCAGCATACGTACTGCTGCTGTTTTGTTTTCTTTCACTTTGCTTTCCTTTTTCCTTCAGTTGCTTCTCCGGTTCCTTCCAAGCCTTCCGCTTGGGACAGGAAAGCTTCCGGTGTCCGTCCGCCTTGCACAGAAAACATTTATCTTTGTTGCCATCATAAAAAATATTTCCTTTGCGATTGAAGAAATGTAATGACGTGGGGATTTCCTTCTTCACATCCATATATACACCGCGTATCTCTGTATATACCTCAAAACACAGATCAGTTGGAAATTTCTCCCGGATGATGCGTTTAATTTTCCCATATTTCCCCAGCACTTTATCCAGCTCGTTGTCGGGTACCTCTGGTGGCAAGTCATACACACGCACATATTGAATGTATTCACCAGCATGCGACATGCGTACCTTTGCCGTCGTTCCATTCGCATAATGGAAGATTAAATCCTCCGAATTGAACGTCAGAGCATGGAGCATCGCTTCCTCTGATTTGAACTTTATGAAGACTCCCCTTTCCTCACCAATGCGATAAACAGCTTCCATTTCAGCCGGATCCGCGTCGAGTGCTTTGGCGAAATTTACTATCTCTCCGATGTTTGGTTTGGCATCACAATGGCTGAAGCTAAACTTGATGGTGTTTTTTACTTCACACATCTTGCACCGTAGCAACAAAAGGCACCGAACTGCTGGCAACGAACAAAGAGCAACTATATAATAGCGAGTCTCGAAAACAGGCTATCGTGTGGTTCACAACGAAATAAAAAATCGACTGCTGCTGTAGACAGCTGTGGGACAACTGGTTTTGAAAGTTATCCCGAAAAAAAAATTACAGTGAAATTTTCAGTGGAAACAATGCTCTAACATTAATATTTATTGTCGACAATAAAAATGATTGTTATAATGTTGTATCCTTCCTAAAACGGCAAAACTGCTACCTAGCTGTACAATGAATGTACATAATAAAATGTTGTTACAATGATTTTTATCGTATTTTTCTTTTATTTAATTGTTAACATGATTCGATCATGAACAATAATGAACAACGCTATTACAATAAAAATTGTTGTTACATTAAATATTGGTGTGTTTTCATTGTGGGTTACTTCACGAACAATTAAAATAAATCTGATTGAAGCATGCAGACTATGAGAGGGTCAGCAACACTGCCAATGTAATCAAGATAGGCGATGCTCGTATGGCTCTGGCTTTGACAGTTCCAGCCAGTTTGCGTCCGCTCATCTCTTATCCTAGACTCTCTCTAAAGCTGGGTTAAGATGGTTCAATTCAGCGTTCAACTCACTTGAACTGCGAAATGAACGTCCAGAAATCTGACCGATATCGGACTTGCTCTATTCGTTGCCAAGTCAGTTCAACGCCTACGACCAGATCGGTTTGAGTTAAATTCAACTCACCTGCCTCATCTAAATCCCGCTTAATGCAGACCTTTTCCGTGCAGTCAATAATCATACAATAATAATAAAAAAATTCCACCACTTGAAGATGTCAGGAAGGAACTCTCAGGTGGAAGCATATTTCATGGGCGATTCTCTCCAGTCGAATGCATTAACTTGTCAACGACGCTCAATCACCAAGGAGACGTGACCTAGGGAGATCGAGTGCAGGGGAGTTGGTCTGCATTTCTCACAAGTTCCGGATCGAATCTCGATCCATAACCAGTAAAAAAAGGACAACCCGTAACAGATACTACCCCACCCCTTTCCCTTCCCGGGGCAATGTTTTATTTTTTTCGATTTATTTTTAAAGTCGATAAAGTAGATCTGTCAAGCCAACACATACACTCTAAAGTACACTGTTATTTTTTTTAATCAATAAATTCGCCAACCAACAGTAAAATAACAATAATATATAATGTTATTGAAAAAAAATTATATGGGAAAATCACGAAAATTTCATTGTTAAGATACTTAACAACCCCCCTTTTTTATTGTAAATTTTCCATTTACCATGAAATTTACTGTTTTGTACAACATAAATCAAGGTAAATTTATTGTAGACGTAACAATATAAATCATTGTTAAGACAATAATTTTCGTCCTATTGTTACATTGTTTTTTAATGTATTTTTGTTGTTATTTTTTTTCGGGATTGCACAGGTAAAAAGTGAGGTTACGCGACCCCACTGTTGTAAATTAATTATTACCAATACATATACATTATGTATTACAATTTTGCATGTATAACTTTTCCAAGTTCCTTATTTCCTCCACCTTAATCCGCTGACTTGCTCCTGCTTGCTGCAGGACCAATTGCCACGCCGTCCGAAGCGGTAATGAGCAGAGGCATACAGCAGCGCTGTTTTATATCTTTTAAGATTTAAGCAGAACGTTGTACAACCAAATGGTACTCGACTATGACGACTGGGTTAGGGAAAACCGTTTATTTAATTTTTTTTCCCTTTGGTTTGTTTTTTCATCCGTGCTGAGCACCAATGCTACCGACGTGCCAGGAAGGCAGCTCCCACACCTGGACCCTACCTATCGACCCATCAACTCATGAACCGGGGACCAACGGCTTTACTTCCCATCCGAAGGAAGGCGTGATCAGAGATGTTATGCCTCAGAACATCCCGGCGGCGCCGACTGGGATTGAACCCAGGCCTGCTGGGGTGAGAGGTAATCACGCTTACCACTACACCACCGGCGCCGTTAACCGTTTATTTCATGAAAACAGAGATAAAATTACCATTTGTACATTTTTCAAATGTTTTTTTTTGCGGAAAATTGAAAAAAAAAAATCAGCAGATTTGTAATGTTATATCCTATCGATTGGCGTATTTGGATTTTATTTTCATCTATATATGACAAAGTTACAAGCGTTTAAAACCTAACACTATTTCACCACATATATTTTTTGATTTGCACCCCAGTATAGTCGACAAAGACGTAGTTAGTTCTACGTCAAAACAGAATTTTGCCTAGATTTTCGTTTTCGATAGCTCTGATCGTTTTCGGCTTCGGCTTTTGATGCTTAAAACGGTACTGGTCGTTCCCCCAGCAGCAAATCTCTCCAAGTTGCAGGTTCATCGCGAATCGAGTGTAACCCAACTAACAATTTTAGCTGCAGATTAGCTTATACAGCCAAAAATTGGCTTATAAGCTAATATTTGCCTGCATAAGCTAGTCTGCAGCTAAAATTGTTTGTTGGGAATACGACCACGGAACCTACACTCTGGGACTTCGTTTACAGGGGCGCCGTTGTCAGTTGATTCCCGTTCCATTGGAGGACAGCACATTGGTTCGTGGAAATTAATGGCTATTTCCTGGGAACGGAAGTGCGTCCGATTATGTGCCCTGCTATCATATAATGCGGAATTTATTAGAGCAACGAGCGGATTTCGGTGGCGGTGGCCAGCAAGATCATCAAGGAATGACTTGCCTCTCGTGTGAAATCCACTTTTGATTAAATGAATATCAAATGTACACTTAAAACCAAAAATATTCAACTGTCAGACTAAGTATAAGATTTCCAAATATCACACATATTGAAATATCTAAAATGTCCACCATCGGTATTGATGCTGATACTTGGAGCTGTCCTTCCCCTAGGAAGAGGCCCAACATTTTGGCATCCATGGATCCCTTGATCACCTCCACCTTCTTGGGCCAGGGGTGGACGCCTCTAACTGTCCCGTGCGCCCCTCGAGTATGGTGACGGACTCGAGGCTTCAACCATAGAGGTAACTCTAAGACCAGAAGGTCCCAAAGAAACGTGTTCAACTTTTTGGCTCAACTCTGGGACTCTTTTCAGTTCAAAGCTAATCGATGCACCCCTCGAAACATAGGAGTATCCACGAACCCCTCATTTTATCTTTCAAACTTTCATAGCGAAACAATAGGCTAGTGCACTGTGAGCCAATTTAAAATCGTCAGTTTCCACCGGTTGCTTCAACGAACCACAAGCGTAAGTTGACTTACCTGGATTGGTGGCGCACACTGTTTAACTGTGGGATCAGCTTCACGAACTGGAATTCAGACACACTACCGGCGTTTGGCGTGGTCGACTCCGGAAAAATACTTTATTACCGTAAACGTTACGGTAAAACCGTGAGTCCTGTGGGCGCGACGGGGAATTCAAAATAGCGGTTAGAGATTGACATGATCTCATTACGCAACGGTCGGATCTGGTTCGGGGTTTTTGGTGATGTTCATTACCTGGATGTCGAATGGTACGTGACAACTTCCTCTCCAACTCCTTTAAACTTCCAACATACATCTTTTTTTCTTCCAATGCTACCGACGCCAGGGAGAGGCAGCTTCCACGCCTGGACCCTTCCTATCGACCCATCAAGTCATGAACCGGGGACCAACGGCTTTACTCCGAAGGAAGGCGTGATCAGAGATGTTATGCCTCCGAACATCCCGGCGGCGCCGACTGGGATTGAACCCAGGCCTGCTGGGGTGAGAGGTAATCACGCTTACCACTGCACCACCTTTGCCGCTTCCAACGTATCTCACTTTAGATTAATTTTTTACTTTCAAACCCAAATTGTCTTTAGCTTTGACTTTCACTATGTGACCGTAGTCTCTAATGATCACCAGGCTTATGAATGTGCCGCTTGGTGATCGCTGACCCCGAACTAATGGCCATTGAACCAACAATCAATACGAAACTTACGATTTTAAATTGGCTCACTACTTGACTAGCCTATTGGTCCCAAGCAAATTGACTAACGTAGCCCATTCTAGTATAAATTCCAGTACAACACTATGTTTGTTTTGATTCGTATGCAAGTTTGACAGATAAAATGAGGGGTTAGTGGATTTTCCTATGTTTCGAGGGGTGAATCGATTAGCTTGGGACCGAAGAAAGTACCAGAGCTGAGCCACAAAGTTGAGCTCGTTTCTTCGGGACCTTCTGGTCTTAGAGTTACCTCTATGATTGAACCGCCGTACGTTCCCTGAACTCTCCACGCAATGGCCCCCATTACGCCACCCCTATGGCCATAGCTGCGACCGCGTTCTCTAGTGGTGGCTAGCGACATTGCCCTAAGCTTTATAATGAGTGTCTTCTACTGGCTTCGTTCGGAGGGATTTTGGATGTTTTTAACATTCAAAAACATTTAAACACTTTCTTGGTTTTATTTAAACATCAACTTTATGAAAATTATTAGACTACCCATAAAATGCAGTAATTGTTCCATATTTTGCGGTTTCCGTGTAGTGTACAATACAACAAAGTTTGTTTGAAAAGCTATCATGTTTTATCATTACATCCCATTTTTTTTCTTTCTTTTTCAGCATTCAATATTATCGCGCGCCAACCAAAATTAACATTAGCAACATAGAAATTCCAGTGATGCCAGCGAGAAACCTCGTTTTGATTTTAAGTCGTATGCACAATGGATTGGGTAACTGGGACACTACTTAAGCGATATAGGCAAGGACCGAGTGGTACGAATGACGTACGATCCCAAGATCTTTTCATGCACCATCAATGTACAGTGCGCTAGCCGATTTTGAGAGGAAATATCATCCAATCCATTTGTTTACATCACGATTTTCAAAACTCAAAATAATGTACATTTTATTGCACAACTTGCAAATTTCCATTGGGAGTGGTGTTATTTTTCGAGGTTTCAACGAGAAAAGGAAAGAGACAATCGGCGAAGAGAAGCTTGTACGGTGATTGGTAATAAAAAATTACCACAAATTATTAAAATAATTAGTGAATTTTGAATTACTCACTTATTTCAATGTAATAAAAATAATTGTGTGTAATTTATGGGTAACTTCAGTAATTCCTCTTGCTTGAAAAATAATTTTATAATTTCAGAGATAATCAAACAGTAATTCGGGTAATTCCATAAATATTTGTACTCCATCGTTTGAAACATTGTTAATCATTGAATAATTGAGTAATTCCTAAAATTATTCATGTAATCGTAGTAATTTCGGTAATCGAGATTAATAAAAGTAATTTCAAAGTAATTTTAATTTTTTGAAAAGAAATCAGAGTAATTTTCGGTAATCTGAATGGCACTGACCGGTAATTAACGCTGGGAGAACCCCTCGAGAAACCCCGCGAAAAATCGCCCATTTCGTCGACTCGGTAAAATCGGTAAAAACGCCATAAATATCAGAAACGTCAAATATGACGGAGGGGAAAAAATCGCAGCTGGGCCGCAGACAAAAGACGCAGTGTGCAATACCACAAAGAAGAGTAAATTTCTTTTCCACACTGCAATCTGTCACTAGCAGTCGTGATCCACAGTGGTCCTTTCCAGTTTTTACATAAAAAGTTAGTATTTTTAACGACAATTCGTTTGTTCTTGTCTTAAATCGTTGCATCTTAGTGATTATGTGTGACTATTGATAAAATCGGCCGAAATTTCTGTTGCTTAAACGTGTAAAATGTTTCTCAATCTTCACCCATTCATCAATGGCTTTCTCCCATGCCCGATGTCTGCTGGTGCTAATCGTACTGATACGATTATATAAATAATTATAGAGATAGTTTTTATTTTTAACTATGTGCAGTGCCGAAACATGAATTCCATTCTAGTGTATACACAAATTTAGATCAAACCGTAGTGTAAAAATAAATAGTGCAACTAGCCGAAAATCGATATCCACAGTGAATCAGCAGACGGTGCTCCAGACTACCCCTAAGTTGCTGACCTTGAATATTCTCTACTTCACAGGAAAACCCCTCCAATTAGTGCGAAACTAGTTCCGTTCTCGTAACACAGCCGTACTTTTCTAGTAAATAAAAAACAGGGAAAACCATATCGGCAAGCAGAGAATGAAGACTTCCCAAATTGCAAGATACGCCATTCGTTTGAACTACGGACAGGTAAGTGGCATAATTGTCTACAACGCAAATCAGTGATAACGAATTTGTGGCGCCAGATCGATTATCCGTTCCGTTTCAGCTCACTAGTGGACACGATCCACATGCTAATTTGTTTATTAATGCTTGTATCACGTGCTCACAATGCTACGTGTAAAAGCGCTTCATTAAAACCCGAATTGCTATCAGCATTTTGATAGTACTGTTTTTAGCAACTGACTGATAACAAAGAATTTTGCATCTTTAATTTCTATAGCCGACAAAATTATTATCAGCTGAAATGTCATAAGCCGTATGTTTACTGGGAATTCGAAAAAAAGACTGAACTTGGAAGATTTTGTATTGTTCGGGTTGAAATAATGCTTCTATAGACTAGTTACTATAACAGTTGTGACCCGATTTTATCAGACTTTTACCTTTCAATAATTTCACATACCGGTAATTCGAAATCTTTCTCATTAATCTTCAAGATAGATGTGGTATACTTTTGTGCAATAAGACCACTGAAACTTTCAAAAAGGAGGCTGACAAAATCATTCAGCTGTTCTAACATTCCCGAACTAGCTGTACACGTCTCAGGTCACCCAAGCCGTTTATTGAAGCTAATCGATTTTCGTAATTTCTATTGCAAACATTGAATTGAGGTACCTATATAGATACTACTCAAAACTCGTAACACCAATGACGCCTGCTTCGGAAGCGGCTTGGCTTCTTAATCATTTTGGTCAGCACCACCATTCTGCGAGTGTGCTATTTTGGGATCATTCCCCCAGTTCATTCGAAGCGACAGTGACATTTTTGTCTATACTTTTCCATTATGCATTCAGGAGAGAAACCATAGAGCTGTTGGGTATTTGACGTAATAGAAGAAGCATAAACAAAGTTGCGATAATCTGGCAATTTGTTGCATATCAACTCTATCTCTATCTGCAAGAGAGCTGAAAAAATGCATTAAGTCCTAAGTAACATTGATCGATTCTTTTCATCGACTTTCTCTTTCGTTAATAGATTGAGTATTGAACCGTTTATTTTCTTGTTTGTCATATGATGGTCGTGAAGATGCAAAGAGAAAGTCGACGATGAGAATCTGTCAATGTTACTTATGACCTAATGCATTGTTCAGCTTGATTTGGTTTATTACATTAGGGACCATCCATAAATGACGTAGCTTATTTTTGACCAATTTTAGATCCCTCCCCTCTCGTAGCGTATTTTGTAATACCTAATATGTACATGGTCGGCACTTATTCTGAAACCCAATCAAAAGCTACATCATTGATGCATATTCCCTCATCTGTTTGATTAATAATTAGTACAAAAAAGTACATAAATCGCACTAACTTAATAAGAAAACACGTGCCGCTCAATAAACCCTTTGACCCTCAAGCAATGAAAGTATGTTGAACTCCGCTTAACTACGCACATTTTATTTATAAACTACGAACCTATACCAATAGTCTTTCGTCACCATCAAGGTTATAATAATTAACGTCTTCATCAGTCAGGTTCAGTAAAGAATCTACTGTTCAAATTTCGACGCAAAACAATTCAATTGCTCTTAAAGCGCAGCCGCCTGATCCGGATTGTTCCGGAAAACTTAGGAAAAAAGCTTGCAGTGCGGTTGCATAGTTGCGCCATGCACCATCACGATGACTAGACTCTAGCGTTCGTTGTGGTATTTTAAAACACCAAAACGAACAACGGCGTCATATGATGCTGCACTACTGCGCCGACTATCAGATAGGAAAGTGACTACTGATAGTCGAGCTTTTTCAAATGATAATGCGAATTCAACTAGGAGGCCAGCTAGACATTTACTACGGCGAACGGTAATGTGCAATGCTACAAAGGCTTATCAGTATGAACACACTTTAGTCATATGGAAGGCAGAACCGATTGAAATGGTTGATACGCAAAACGGGTTCTTCCCACCAAGTCGTAGGCGTCTGGTTTACGTGTATTAATAGAACACTATACATATATGTAGCGATGCATTAACAGGCTTGGTGGAAATATTTCCTCGTGCGCAAATGTCACAAATCAACGGGTGTGTTTACCTACGTTACGGGTTTTTTTTTATTTGTATTACTTTTACGGTTTGTTTTGTTGAATAAGACGAGGAATGCGATGGGATCATTGGTCGAGGAGTAGCAGTTCGGAAAGTTGGTTCTCTTGTTTATTAATCATTCAATTGAACTTTCGATCGTTAAATATTAAGAATATTATAGTGCGATTTCCCAGTGACTAATGGCAGCCTCTACTCACAACTGAGAAATGGAAGATTTTCTAGCTGTTTTGTTAGAAAGATGATGATAGACTAACACCTATTCTAACTACATGATTTGATCATGATTTGATTACTAACTGTTGTAGTTACTTATCGTATGAAACATTAAACACAGTAGGTGTACCTGTTTGTAACAGGGCTGGTAGCGAGTCACTTTTTAGTGACTTGGTCACTTTTTTCAAGCCAGTCACTAAAAAGTCTCTTTTTTTTTAAGGTCAAGTCACTTTTTTAAACGCGAATGTATTTCAAGATTGATCGTTCTTCTGGATAGGCCTATATTTTGTTCTATTTTTGAACAATTCGAAGCTGACGACCTGGTATAGAGTTTTTTTTTACGTTTAATCGTTCTTCTCTATCTACAGGGTGGGGGCGACCCCGGCGTAGTGGTTAACATCTTTACCTCTCGCTCCAAAGTCACGAGTTCAAGTCTCACCCCCGGACAAGTCACGAATGACCCAAGTGACTATAATAAAAAAAAATAAATATCTACAGTCAACTGATTTGGCTAAAAAAAGTTCCCTGAGTTTTTCAGGTTTTTAAGCGTGAGTTTAGACAAATTCAGGATAGTTCCATGAGGTGCTGAAATAAAATCGAGAACCCTTAAGATGTTCCGAGAGATTCAGTACCTTCAGGTTTTCAGAAAATTAATGACAACTTAAGAAATATTTCAGGAATTTCACAGAAATCCAGAGAATTCCAGGGAAGTTTAAAGGTGTTTACGAGAATTCCATTTATTTTAAAGCAGAACTGAGATATTCATTAGTTGCGAGTTTTAGGGAAGCTCCGAGAACATCAGAGAGAGACAGATCAGAGAATTAAAGGGTAGTTCAAAAAATTTCAAGGAAATTGCAGAAACCGGAATTTCCGTTTTGCTCAGAGAAAATTTCTGGAACGCTATAAAAATTATATGAACATCCGGAAAATGTGAGAGTATTTCAAGGATGTTATATCATGGAAAGTTCAAGATCTATAGATTTTTTTTTTAATTTAGCTAAGTTGATTAGAGAACTTCAACGAAGTTCCATTAATTAAAAAAAAGCGAGAACTTTTAGCAAGCACCGATATTTATAAGAAATTCCAGAGGCAATTAAATCAATTCCAGTAAAATTGTGGGTTCTTTCAAAAAATACAAAGACAGGGCAGTCTAGAGAATTTTAAGGAAATAGAGAAATATTTTGGGTAGTTTTAAAAACATCAGGAAACTCTAGATTATTGAAGAAGTTATGAATTAGTTTCTATAATTTAAACTTCAGACAAATCTTGAGAACATCAGTGAAAATCATATTAATTATTTCGCTGCGGAGCGGAAACCTACAGAAGTTCCTGAAATTTCAGAATAACTTCGAAAATTTCACAGAAGTTCAGTGATCTTCAAAAACATTTCGAGAACTTCATAAAAGTCTATGGAACTTAAGGGAAAATCCGAGTACTTCAGGGACTTTTATGGACATTTCGGGAGCATCTCAAATAAGCGTAGTAAAGCTCCAAAAACAAAGGGAATTTCAGGGGAGTTCTGCTCAATTAGTTTCACTAAATAAGCGGCAAATTTCAAGAAGTTCTCAGATTTTCAGAGAACTTTAGAGATGTTAAGAAAATTATTGAGGTTTTCACATGTGTCCAAAAGTTCACGCAAGCTTAAACATTTTTAGAACAGTTCAATTCACGGTAGTACAACAAGCTTCATGAGAACTGCAAACACTTTAGAGGAGTTTCGAGAACTTCGAGAAAGATATTGATCTCGCTAATATAGCTCTAAACAAAAAAAGAACTTCAAGAAAGAACGGATATCCTCAGAGCAGGGAAATTACATAAATTTTAAAAAAGTTTTGAGAAATTCAGTGAATTTTTAACACTTTAGAGAAGTTTTCGTTAGGAAAATTGTGAAAACATTAGGAAGTCCGAAAAAGTTTAAAGAAGTTAAAAAAAAAATATGAGAAGTATTGCGAGCATCAGGCTAGTTTCTCAAACTACAAAAGAACTTCAAGGCAGTTTAATCATATTCAGGAATATTTTGGGAACTTTCAAGTAAGTATGAAGACCTCAGATTAGTCCATTCCATATTCAACGCAAAATTTCTCATCAAAATTCGGATGGAGTTTACTATCTTAAGCTTAGGCTTCACATGAAGTCTAAAATTCCTCAGATTTACCATGAAAGCAGATTGCAGTTGATGTTTTTTTCATAGATTTTTTTCCCCCAGAACTCCCGTGGAATGAGGTCCTTAGAAATTATAATAAAATTCCATGAGCCTTAAAACTGTGCAAGGAATTTGACTCCAGATTCTTGAAAATTTATGAGTGTAGCTTTCCTTCAAAGGCGCGCCCCTTTTGAATTCAGAGCTGGTTGTCTTGCGACAAAAACAAGTATGTCAATTTTTCAGAAGAATTTAGAGGAAAACTCCAAGATAACTCTAACGTGAATTACATGAGAATTCTAAGGAGAATTCAAGCGAAGAAGAGAAGAAGATGAATTTAAATATAATTATGGAAGGATGCTTCAGTGAACTCTTGAAAGAATCATTCGAGAAACCTGCGATGAATTCCATGAATTTTTGGGTGTTCTATTCGGATAATTTTCTGGCTTGCTATAAATAAAGTTTCAATGAACTCTTGGAAAAAATTCACATTTATTCACGTTATTCTGAAAGAAAGATAATCTGCTTCCCATGGCAGCACATGTGATCCACAACTGTAATTCATGCTTGAAAACCAATGCAAATACAACCCCCCCCCCCCCCCCCCACATAATAAAAGCAAGGGGCATCCCGAACCTTCGAACCTGATCATTTTTTAAAGCTACTATGGTGGTAAGCTCCAACTGGTATTATCCTCGGATCAAATCCCGATCAAGACTGTCCGGCAGCTTTGATGTCGACATCAGAGTTAATAAACACGATTCTAAGTAAACACTTTGCAGATCATCCGAAGGAACGGGATTAAAAGTTAATCAGAGTTGGTACTTACCACCACTAAAGCGAAAACAAATTCTAGGTAACTATTAAGGGTCTAGTACTCAAACAAACTGGCCCAAGAAGACCAAAAGTTCCACATTCAACGATTAAAATCACTTCCAAGTTCCATAAAGTTCAAATAAAGTTCCGACCGAACCTTCAAGTTCCATAAAGTTCGAATAAAGTTCCGACAGATCTTTCAAGTTCCAAAAAGTTCGAATAAAGTTCTGACAGAACTTTCAAGTTCCATAAAGTTCAAATAAAGTTCCGACAGAACTTTCAAGCAACCTGAAGCAATCCGCACAAGTCTTTATTAGTAACAAAATTTAATGTACGTAAATATGAAATGATCAGTAACCCGAATAAATCATAATTCTTATAATTATGCAGTGCATCAACATTCTATCCAAACATAAAAAAAATAAAAAGTAATTTCCTGGATTCGAACCCGAGTACGGCATGCGATCTACGATTGCTAACCACTGCGCCACAAGTGTGTTGGAATACCATGCGGACACCAATTTAAAATTCATTAAGGTGTTGTGTTTCGTATTCAAGTCAGTCAGCTGGCACTGAAAACTTCAACAGTAGGCGAGACAACAGCTCACTTTAATATATCTCAGATGACGTAGCGGTTCGTGCTGGGGCTCTCACGCAGAAGGACTGGGTTTAATTCTTAAAACAGCTCCAATTCTACTTCAAATGCTGATAAATCAATACACAATAATACCTGCCTTTAGAAATAACTTTCATAAATGTGCGAACTAAATATAGATTTGGTGTAGAGGACAAAACCCCCTTTTAATTTGTTTTCTAAAAGTTCCGTTCAAGTTCCGCCAGCAGCTGCTTAGAATGCTCTTCAATTATGGTACCGGAACTTTAAAGTTCTTATAACGACTTAAAAATGAGGCTGCTTATAATTCTATAGACCACCTTACACCAAGCTGCTTAAGCCACAAATAGCCTTTTATCAGAACTTTTGGTTACTTAGGTGGTTGTTGCTGGAGCCTGGAAATAAGCTATTGTACTTATGACTGAAAATCCTAGTTACCCTTCACGCTGGCATCATGGTTTTCCAATCTGGCTAATGTTAACTTTGACGTCGGAAGTCGCTAGTCAGACTAGTGTACTTTGGTTTGGTGTCGGCGCCGCAATACTACCGACAAGGCTATCGCAAATACCTCCGCAATGATCCCGTATGCTGTTATTCATAACATAAGGTTGTTAACAGATGGTTGTTGTTACTTAACCTTATAATGACCAGCGAAGTGTTATCGTCGATATATAGAGCAAGGGCATAATGCCACAGAAATATTGACGTTATCACATCGACCGAAGCCATATGTATATGTATTCTTGTGCTTTCTGTATGCCATTTGGTAGGGTAGGATAGAGTGCTTCTTCGCCTACTGGGCTAATTTCAGGAAACACGAACAAGAAAATCTAATGTCTCTACCATGCGTTAGAAGGATAGAGCTGTAATTCAATGACGATATTAAGATAAAGTTTCTGTGATAAGTTTTCCATAAAATAAGAGCAATTTGAAACACTTTTATCAAATCAAATGGTGAAACCATTATAAGTCAACATTAGAAGAAAACATCCGTATTTTTGTACAATTCCGTTTAATAAGCAGGATATGCAAAGGCTGTGCTTACCAGGTACTTACCTACTCAGAAATTTATTAATCGTCAGTAAATTAAACAGCTTGATTTCTTATTACATTTTTTGCTTAGCCCGGTGGATAGCCGTTCGAATTGACGATGTCTATTTCCTCGCAATTTGACCCTTCTAACTTCATGTTTCGGCTTTGTTTGGTTTCGCTGAGACGAAACGTTGTTTGTTTGTTTGTTCTTAATTCATACAAACGTTTCTCAAATGACGTTTTTTCTGCTTGGCTTGAATGAGGCAAAACAAATGTACGTATCGTTTACGTCTTCGCGAGGCGTTGGAGAGTTGAATGAAACAAAACCCATTATCTGTCGCCACTCGGAACACTCGCTGACCGTGAAATTTATTTTCATTTCGCTTTCCTCTCCAAAAATTTTTTTTAGCTACAGGCCAGCTTATACCGTCAAAAAAATAGCTGCATATAGCAATATTTAACTGTATAAGCTGATCTTATTTAAAGACAGCAAACACACATATCATTAATATCATTAACTTTCTTTCGTTGCTGTTTTCTTGCAGGTTAATGAATTTGCCGGTTCAAAAACGACCGACCGTGCCACGGTTCGATCGGCGGCTCTGCTAGCTGCCCTCGGAATCGGTCTGTCCTCGTTCAGCATGAAACAAATGCTGGCCAAGCAACCCAAGAGGAAGTACTAGGTTGGAGGGAAAACTGCATCAAACAACATCAGTCGTTTTGAAGCTAGAATATGACTTCGAACGCCAACGGACAACGGACTGGAATGCAGTGATACTGATGAACTGAATGCGAGATGTTTTACATGGATGAGTGGGAGAAAAAGAGAGAGAACGAGATTCTATTATTTTTGTTTGCTTTGTAAGAGGTACGTTAGCTTGAGGAAGCATTATTCCTTGCACAAACACGGATCAATGATCCTGTTGACGAGCGACGAGGCGGGTAGCAGTTGAAGCGCCATTATCTTCAACCCAACGAGTCCCCATGGAGATTTGTTGTTGGTTGATCACATGCATTCTGCTCCGTCGCCTGTTGTAATACCTATTTGGACTTTAGTTTTAGTTAGCCTTTTCAAATTCTTTTATTTCATAAGATGGATATATCGCTAATGACCGCTTCAAGCGAACGAAATACGAAACGAATGGATGGACGTCACAGAAAGCAAGGGATTTAAGTTTTTCGCGTTTGGGAAATTGTAGCTGGCTTCAAAATTGAAATGTTGATTCTTTTCGCAGCGTGTGATCTCAATTGAGTTGTTTATAGGAAAGCCCAGACAATGACGACTGTTTCGGATATTATTAGGCCCTTTTTCCCGTGTATGTTGCAGTAATGTGTAGGTCAGTGTGTCGTATTTATTTGCTAAACAGAAACCGTGTGAGGGAAAACTAGATGTACAAGATTGTAACATCATTGCTTTGGATTTCTATTGTTTCTCAATTGAGATGCTGCGAAGACAGTAAAAAAACTGATAATATAAATTAATCAGAATGATTAGACGTCAAAATCTATACTGATACCATTGGAGGGAATTTGAATGAGAGAGGGAAGAGAGCTTACGAAACAGATTGACTACACAGACATCTACACAATGCAATGCAAGAAGTGGTAACTTCACAATAGGCAGTTAGGAGGAATAAAAGAAGATTGTCAAAAATTAGATTGATGTTTTGTGCGCGGAAATATCCGAAACCCGATTCCTTCTACCGTGGGTTCAATGTCTGTGTAGAATTGGAACTGTAGGTAATTGAAAGACGTCCGAAGTTCGATATTTGGGAAATGCAAGTCATCATCTTTACCATCGGCATGCAGTGATGATGCTTTGAAAACACTATTCCTGTAACTCTGTTACATATGTTAATTACTGTCAGTACCACAAACATAACATTATAAGAGTTGACTTGCTCACAAGAATGGAAGAATAGCAACAGTAAAAATAACATAAATGCTCAAATAATGAGGTATATAGATTTTTTCCGTTCATGACAATAGCATAGCTATGTAGCAAATGTTATGTAAATTACTTTTGTTGAAAAACGATTTTGGCTAGGTATTGGCTTAATAAACCGAGATATATTCATTTTTGCGAAAATGGAATTTTGAAAAGCTTAATTTTTTAAATAAAAAGGTACTTCATTTGATTCAATCAGTGAACTGTGAATTTTGAGGTATTTTCACTATTCCTTGAAGTTTTTTTTCTGCAAAGCTGCTTGGAATTCCCGTGGATTCGTTAACATTCGACAATGCAAAATTCTTCAACCAAAAATGTCCCATATGCAAGACATCAAAAACAACAAACATCTATTGATATGATCTTCATATTTATCTATGTTCCAGACCAAGGCTGAAAGTCTCTTTAATAAAGAAAAAAAAATCTATGTTCCAGAATCTGTTCAACATACTTCAAGTCTCCGCGTACATCGTACGGGTTAGGCAAAAGATGTGCGTCTGACTTTAAAAACTGTCGCATTAATGGCCCTTCGCTCATTTTCAACTTCTATTCAATTTTAATACTATCCACCTATCCTCTTCTAAAGATCATTCTCTAGCTAATAAAATATTTTTTTAATTAATTTTTAACGAACCAGAATCTTGATTCTTTATTCTCATACCAAGATTTTGTAGAGTTGGTTGGAAATGCTATCTAACATGAACTTTTAGTGTGATAATTTATTAGCTAGAGAATGGTCTTAGAACCCGAGCAAAGTAAGAGATCAAATTGAAATCAGAATTTGCTGTTATGATGTAACTTATGTTGAATACTCCATTTGATCTCATTTTGGTTGACTTAACGGTTAACACAGCAAAAATGAGATCAACATTTTACACTGTTGCATCAAACGGAAAACTAATTCTGCTTTCAATGAAATCAATTTGATTACTGATTTTGCATTCATAATGTTTGACTGAATACGGGCCTGTCGTAAATGGTTAGCATCTATGCTTCTCACGCTGAAAGATTTGAGCTCAAATGTCAGCTCGGGCTAGTCACGAATGACATAAAATGTGTTAAACAAAACAAATAATCGTTAGTTTAACGACAGATGAACTTAAATCAAATTGTAAACAAGAAATTAACTGCAGAACTTCAAGTTTAGTTGCTTTAATTTAAAAAGTCTTGACTGCATAACTGCCGGTAATCGCAAGTCAGTCCAATCTGTATTTTTATCAATTTTGAGTTAGCATCATTATTCAGTTTATCTTTCTATGTTTTTTGAGATGTGCTATTGACAAAAGGAAGAGATGAACTAGCCTATGGCTAAAAATCTCTATAATAAAGGGAAAAAAAAATATTGACAAAAGGTGGTTTGTTCTAGAAAAATGAAAAACAATACCAAGTCAAATTGTCCCACAGCGAAAAGTAACCGCAATTCAGTCCCATTAGAAAAAATATGTTGGAAATGTTAGACAACACATCGCATCATAAGATTTGTGTTAAGACAGATTTTGTCCACTTCCTCCAGGGTATCTGGAACATGTTCGGATGTGGCTAATATAGTGCTTACGAAACTCAGTTTGACCGCCAATGGATTTGGCTTTGCATTCTCATGTGATTGGATGTATCGCTTGATGGATTTTGATTTAAACAGGATTTATCACTTCCTCGGGGATACCCGGAACATGTCCGGGTGTGGCAAACTTGGTGCTGGTCACTCATCATGATTCTTATTGATCTTATTTTTGAATTTTCATGAGAATTGATTTATCGCATGGTGGGTTTGGCACGTTTATCAAAAGCTCTGGTCTGATGAAGACCCATACTCACCGGAATATGTTCCGGCCATTACTCTGGAACCAGCGGAACAAATCCAGAAACATTATATAACGTTCGATGGGACCATAGTATCTATCTACTGTTGAATACTGTGCTAAACTAAAGCAGCATCGTCATGGAATTGTGACTGACTTGCGGTTATTTTTTCTCATTGACGTTAAATGTAATCGCAAGTCAGTCCCACTCAAATTTAGGCCATAAAATAAAAATTTCACGATATTTTTCCAATATTTTTGGGTAAACATAGATGCATTCTATCACATTGTACGTTTATTTTTAAATTTATTTCTCCAAAATAAGTGTCAAATCAGAAAACTTGAAAAATCTTTGATCGCCGTTTTCTCATTTCCAGTTTTTTACAGATGGGACTGACTTGCGACTATTGGCAGATAATGAAAGCACAATATGATATCAGACTTCTGTCGCGACAATTGAAATCAAAATGATTTTTCATTAGGATAGGAACTGCAAACTTTAATATCGATTTGCTTTCATTTTGTTAACCGACTTTACTCGGGAAGAGGGTAGGTAGATAGTTCCGTGAGAGTACGGCAGTATGAAAATTCAATAGAAGTTGAAAATGAGCGAATGGCCATTCATGCGACAGTGCAAGTAAACTCTTTGCCTAACCCGTACGATGTAGGCGGAGATTTGAAGTATGTCTTCAAATCTACAGGCAAAGAGTGTGCACTGTCGCATTAAGGCCCCTTCACTCATTTCCAACTTCTATTCAAATTTCATACTGCTTGATACTGGTCAATTCTATGTTCTGTTAAAATAATCGATTAATTTTTAATTGACTAATTGATTATCTGCTAATCGATTAATTGGCTTCGATTAATGCACGATTATTTATATTTGTATTGGAAGTAGGAGTTGAATTTATTATAGTGTATATAAACTTTAACTATTTTGTTTGTACTACTACATGCGTGAAGTTAACTATTTACATATTTAAAGATACTAACCGTCAAATAATAAGTCTGTTAGTAAGTGGTCATTTTTATACAATAGATGATGAGATGAAGTATAGAGTTGATAATTCCGTTAGAGTACGGCAGTGTGAAAATTGTGTATAGAGAGCAGCAAGCGAGCAAAGACAACATTGAGGAAGGCACGAATCGGGTTGATCATCTCTCTTTACCAAACTCCCCAGTTGAAGAGGGATGTCCCCCACGCCACCACTGGCAAAAAGAGGTGATCGCTGATTTGCTCATGTACCTACGATGTGTGGACAGTTCTAGTCGTTATCTGAAGGGAGGCATCTAGTCGTAGGTTTGAAAATTGCAGCTATTGTTGCCTCTACCACTTTACGTGCTCCTGTCATCGTCATCTATTGTATAAAAATGACCACTTTAAGTCTGTTAATTGACGCTTAGCATCTTTAACCAAGTATGTAGAACTTGCCACCAAGCTAACAGAGCATCGATTAAACTAAGTTCCATCCCAACTTTAAGTTCAGAACGTCTATTCTCTAAAACAGGTCAGACAATAACAATGTTGAAAAACCGTTTGTCTGGTCCTCATCTCAACATGATACTATTTCTGGATATACTATTGGAGAAGTTGTTTGTTTTGAGTAGTGTTTTTTTTTCAGGCAATGAGATTGCAAGTCGAAAGTCAAAATCAATTCGTTATACCGTGCGGGACCGAAATCCGTACAGCACCGAAATCCGTACACCCTGTTGAATTTGTTTATTTATATGCATCATAACAATGTAAATATTATACATGAATAGGGTAACCAACTTGAATTGGACCCCTATATATTTTGGACCCTTTTCATATATTTTCCTGGCTTACTGTCTAGTTTCTTCAAATTCATCTGGGTTGATGTTGTAATTACATTCTTTCAATTACTTGCTATGTCTCAAGATCATTAGTTCACCTCAAATTGCTTACAATTGCTCA